CTTTCCCTTATTAACCTCTTACACTAGAAAATAGCAATCTTAGGGAGAAATAATATAAAATACAATAAATATACCCATAAGATTATGTGTCCAAAAAGTGAGAAGAAATCATATTATATAATTCTATGGGAAAAAAACTTCCTAATAATCTGTGTGTTACATGGCATGTCACTACAGAATAAAGAATTGAAGCTGTAAAGTCACATTTTTTTTTTTTAGTTGTCAATGGACCTTTATTTTTTTATACACAATGCTAAGAATTGAACCCAGTGCCTCACACATGCTAGGAAAACACTCCATCACTGAGCCATGACCCCAGCCCCACATTTATTTTAATATTTATTTTTTAGTTATAGTTGGACACAATACCTTTATTTTATTTATTTATTTTTATGTGGTGCCGAGGATCAAACCCAGGGCCTCACATGTGCTAGGCGAGTGCTCTACTGCTGAGCTACAACCCCAGTCCAAAAACCACATTTTTTAAGAAGTAAAATGATTAACTCTTTTTTTCTCCCCTGAGGCAATCATGCCCAACAACTTTGATTTTTCCTTCACTACTTGGTGAAGAGCCCAAATATATACTTTGTTGTGGTTTAGTTCCTATAAGGATTAATATTGCTCAGAACTGATGAAAATAATTAATTCCTGCGGTACACTACGTTTTCTGTGATTTTGTTCACTTAAAAATGCCTGCTATCTGGCTGGGAATATATCTCAGTTGGTAGAGTGTTTGCCTTGCAAGCACTCACACAAGGCCATGGGTTCAATTCCCAGCACCAAAAAAAGAATGTCTGCTAACTTAGATATTTAAGATGTGCATCCCAAAGTCCAAGTTTTGAAATAAAAATCCCTGAAGTATTTAAGTTCTCTCCATATTCAAAAGCAATAAAAACAATCAGGATGAGGGGAGAAAGAAAAGAAAAGAAAGAGAAAGAAAGAAATTGTGCCCATCTACGACTAAAAAAAAAATATTTTTTTAAAAAGCAGGATGATAATTAACAAAGCTTTTATCCAGAAATAATGTCAGTGTCAGATTACTGTAAACTTTGAAATGGAATGTTACAGAACATGGGGGTAATCTAGGTATTGGGTGAACTGGGAACTCAGCAAAAGAGATGGCAGTCAGGAGGAATGCCTGCCTTTAAATCCTAGCTCTGGCTCCCTAGCTATGTGGCTTTGGGTATGTTACTTTACCTTACTATGCCTCGGTACTCTAATCTGTAACACAGAGAGAATGATAGTATCAACCTTATTTTATTATTCTGAGGATTAAATGACTGTACATATAAAAAGATCAGAAGGGCTAACAGGAACATACTGGATACACAGCATTAAGTATTTTAAACATTTTACCTTTCAGCATGTGACTAGCAAATCCAAGGCTGTAATGGGGATCAAGGACTCCTTTCTGATTCTTTCTATAATGTGAGTAAAAAGATAAGATCTCCTGAACATCTGCCCCAAGGTTCACAGCAGCTCTGCACCCATGGGCCTTGGGTGGGGGAGTGACTCAGCTATTGTCCATGGTTCTAGAAAAGGTGTATGCCACAACAGTGGGACTGTTCACAGTTTGCTCCTCAATTTGCTTCCAATATTCTTCCCAGAAATTTCTTTAAATCTCCAGGTCCCCATGGAGACCTCAGGAGAGACTGCCCATTGACTTTAAGTGAAATTTTACCATGACTGCTCCCTTGATAACAAATGGATATTTTTAAAAGCCTGGCCCCAACAGATTTCTGCTGCAGCTCATGGCCACAGCCACATTCTTCCTGGACTGAGAGGGTAAGAGTTCACTCTCTGGGGCCAGGCTGTGTGTTCTGCTCAAAAGAAAGGGGAAAAACACAACATGTGCTGCTACTCTCAGCATCAGAGACCAGGCGAGGGACTTTCCATTCATGTTTGTGACCAGAGGCTGGAATGAGGTGTCTGCCCGGAATGGCAGAGTAAATTAATCAACTCGTGTTCTTTGCTGCCTGCAGAAATTAGTTGTAATGTGCTTTTCACACCAAAAGGTAGAAAAGTAGAGCTTGGAGTTAAGGCTGGGGGCACCACACAAGAGATCTGTTTGAAAAAGGACTCCATCGTCTACAGGAGGAATAGAATCTAGTCAAAGCAAAGAATTCAAAGAGCGAGAATTCCCCAGTACTTTGCCAGCATTATTCAGAGTTCAGTGAAGCAAGACACTTGATGTTCCAGATTCCCAGCTCCTGGGGTGACAGAAATTGTTCCTTTCTTAAATACTTGAGGGATATTTGTTCAGCAGCTCCTATAATGCATCAGATACTGTGCTAGGCGGCAGCATGAGAGTGGAGAATAAGGTAGAAAGGCACCCAGTCTAGAGAAGGGAGATGGAGAGCAGACTTTTAAACAATATGCAAGATCACTGAAGTTAGTGATAACTGCTAGGAAGGGAGGAAGGGCATGGATGTGGACTGGGGCAGTCAGCTCAGGGGATGTCAGCCACCAGAAACAGGAAAAAAGGCTGGCCAGGATAAACAGAATGTGAGATCTGTTTACTGAATGAGCTCCTCCTGCCCAGGAACAGGAATCTAATGGGGGAGGCAGGACAGGGAGTGGGGAATGGCCAGGAATGGAGAGCATAGTCACAGAGGCAGCCTCCTCACAGAGATCCCTGAGAGAAAGTCACTGTGAGTGAAGATGACATGTGACTGTGAAGACCAGCCTGGATAGTGAGGCCTGATACTACCTAACATCCATAGCAGGAAATACAGAATTGAATACGTAATGCTTATCTGCAGGCTACACAGGCACAGAACATTCCTGGGAAGTTATAAAATAAGCTGAAAAAGAGGTTGCTCCTGGGTAGGGAAATCATAAAATTGGATGGCAAAGAGGGAAGAAAGTTTGCTTTTCACCATTTACTCTTTTATACATTTTTAATTTGTACTATGTATGGGTGACCTCTGTTTTTTAAAGAATTAAAAATTAAACTGAGGGGTTGAGGGTATAGATCAGTGACAGGGTATTTGCCTAATATGGACAAGGCCCTGGGTTCAATGTCCAGGCACCAGAAAAAAAATTTAAAACTGAGAAAAACCACATACAAAAAAAAAAAAAGTTTGCCTTTTTGCTACTATTAAGCAACCCCTCTTTGGAAAGACATAATTTTCTTAAAAGCTACATAGTTTTCAATCAGGAACAACCAGTTCTACTAACTTGAGAGCCATTTTATGTTTTCATGTTTGCTTCCCCATTCTGGGGTATATCAGATTCTCAGAGACACTTCATTTCTCTTGTTTTCAATTTACAAATTCTGTCCCCTGCTTTTCTCAAAAGCTCCTCCGTCTAGCACACCTGTAATCCCAGCAGCTCAGGAGGCCAAGGATTACCAAATCAAAACCAGACTCAGCAAAAGTGAGGCACTAAGCAACTCAGTGAGATCATGTCTCTAAATAAAATGCAAAATAGGGCTGGGGATGAGGCTCGGTGCCGAGTGCCAACTGAGTTCAATCACCCATACCCCAAAAAGCAAACAAAAAATCCTTCTCCTTCCAGACAGTATTTAGCTCTCCTCAACGTCTACTATAAAAGCAAATCTTCCCTCAAAGAAAAATTAGCACAGAAAGATTCAAATAACATTTCCTAAACCTTGTAAAATAAGAACATCAAAGAAAAATCTTCGAAAGGAACTTACCTGTCAGTTAAAACTGACAGAAATCCAAACTATATAAGCTGAAGAAGAAGGAATCCACTGGTTCATAGAGTTGGGCAGCTCAGAAGTTGGGCTAGCTTCAAGCACAGATTGATCCGGGACTCATGCACCATTGCTGTCAGCTCTGCTTGGTAGCTTGCTGCACTTAGGCCCTTCCGCAGTTTTCATGATGCTCACCAGCAGCCCCAAACCTCTGGGCCTCTAGCTTAGCAATCCCAGTAGAGGGAGAAGTCCTCCCTGAACAGCAATACAGGAAATCCAGAGAACATTCTGATGGATGAGTCTTGAGCTTGTCCAGGGTTGGGACTCAAGCCCGGCCCAGCTCAGACTATATTCTAGTACCACACCAAACGGTGCAAAGAACAGTACCCAGGAGTGCTGGGTAAGAAAGAAATAACAGATGTCCTCTGTCACTTCTAACAAGTCAAAATTACGATCATGGATATTTTAAGAGGCTTGAAACTATAAAACTTTGCTCCCTACAATGTGCAGAGGTGATGGGTTTTCAATTTCAAGGCAAGGTGGCTGGGAAGTTCAAATATCCACACAGACATTACCTAATCTGTTATACTCAACATACTTTTGAATACCAGAGTGGAAATATGCTTATAAAATAGGCCAAAACAAAATAAAACATCCCAAAAATGCAATTTGTAAATCAGATTACAATCCTTTGGTCCCCATGAAACTTTTTGCTCAGGATAAAATATTTCTGTGGTTCGACTTGACAAAATTTATCTTCTTCATTTTAGCCATGAACTTTTTAAGTAATTGTGAAATTCAAAAAATATATCTAAGTGTGGGGTCCATATTTAGTTTTTTGGTTTGTTATTTTTTGGAGGGCAAGGATTAAGGACAGAACCCGGGGGCAATATGCCATGAGCCACATCCTAGCCCTTTTCATTTTTCAGAAGCAGGGTCTACTAAGTTGTTTAGGACTTTACTAAGTTGCTGAAGCTGGACTTTTGTTTCTGATCCTCCTATCTCAGCCTCCAGAGTCGCTGTGATGATAGGCCTGTGCCACCATGCCCGGCCACATTTAGCTTTAAATCATAAAATAACCTAAGAAGTTCTATTTGCATTATTTTTACCAGAAGTTCACCTACTCTCTCCCCAAATCTTCCTGGTTGGCTGAACCAAGTGACTTTTCCTTAAACTTACTGATTCTTTAGTAGATGACCAGTTTTACCCTTGAATGCACAACACTCATGTTGAGTAAGTTCCTTAATAAGAAAACTCATCTGAGGACAAGTTTGGAAACCCTTCCATATGAAGTTGTTCATCTTTACAGTAACACAATGAGAACATGAACAAGAGCCAATACTATATGCCAGTGTAATTATAAATACCTTTTATTTGGAATTTTACAATTAAAGCCACATTTCCAAGGCATCTTCAAAAAGGCAGACATGATCAATGTGTTTTAAAGCAATGGTTCTCATTAATGATTAAGACATTCTTAGGTGTTTTGGATCACCAAGAGCAACACAAAATCTTCAAAACAAAACTAGTTTTAAATCTATTTTATTTAAAACAATTTACAAATAGGCCAAATATCACTCAGCCTAAGAGAACTTCAACCTTTCTAACAACATCATAGTCCAAAAAGACTAATACTTACTGCTGATTCAGCTCACAGTATTATCCCTTCCCAGGCAGCAGCACCGTCTCTAGAAGTATTTTATGGGCACCTTCTATGGGCATCAGAGATTTCCACAGCCACAGGCATGGCCCTGCCCACAAGAAGCTTAGTGTAGCCAGAGAGACAGGAAACACCCAGATCAGACAAACGGAGCTGGCTCCAGTCCACACCTCTATCTTAACAAGAGCTATCACCCACATAAGTCATCACATGTTTTAGCAAATAAGCCACAGGAATAACCTAGCAATTACGTGCTACATCAAGTTTCAACTTGACATTTTGTTAAAAAAGACTACATTTTATTTTATATTTCTGAGTTGCTGGGGATGGGACCCAAAGTCTCACATATGCTAAGCACACATTCTACCACTGAGCTACAGCCCCAGCCCAAAAAAGGTTTTATTCAGTTCACAGATATTTGTGCTCACTCATGTTTCCCCTCAATTGAATCAAAAGAAAAATATAACTCCAAGCCAACTGTACCATAATGTTTGCTGTCCTAAATGAAAGAATGGCTTGTCCATGTCCTAGAATTTCTGCACAGTTCCACATCCTGATGTCAAATTCAGTAGTTACTGCTAAACCGATGTACAAATTCAGACAGCGTGTAGACAGCGCCCCATCCTACTTCAGGATCCATGCTTATGAAATCATTCAAGTTCATTTTGGAGTCTAGAAAAATATATGAAAGAAACGTCTGATGAAAACATAATTTTGGCATAGCAGCAATAAAATCCAGAGACCAAAAAGCAGGAGATATTATTCAAATGGATAAGGGTTCAAGATCATTTCTGTGGTTCAAGGTCATTTCTGTGTTCAAGGTCATTTATTCCTGCCTGTCACAGATTGGAGGAGACATGACAACTAAATACTAAGTTTCAAACAAATTGGAAGAAAAAACAATTATGACTTCATGAAATAACTATAAATGTGAAAACAGACTACACAGACATATGATAATTTTCCACATATAATAATGGTATTATGGCCATTGTTTTAAAGAAAAGAAACCCTTATATTTTAGAGATACACTAAAATAGCCAGAGTTAAATGGACACACTATCTCACCTCAGAGTAATGCAGGTGGCAGAAAATGGCTGAGATATAAACAAAACCACCAGCCATGAGCTGTTGGTGTTGGAAATCGGATAAACTATTGTGTCTAGTTTTGTATGTGATTTAAATTTTCCACATAAAACGCCTTTTTGGACTAGGGGTATAGCTCAGTGGTAGAGAGTTTTCCTACCATGTGTGGGGCCCTGAGTTTAACCCCTAGCACCCCCACCAAAAAAAAAACAACAAAACTTTTTAAAGTTCATGCAGCTTCCTGCTTCTGTCCCTCAAAGAACTGTTATAGGAACTGCATTTCTATCACAAACCACCAGAAAACTGGACAAAAGATGCAAAGGGACTGGACAATGGGCAGCGAGTGAACAATGGTAGCACATGACCATGAATTTCAAGGATCAGAAACAAGTAAGGAGAGGCCGGGAAGGGACTCACAAACAGCCTAGAAGGGACACACAAACAGCCTGGCAGCCTCCCTGCGTGAGAAGACAGAGGCTGAAGTTCAGGAAGGCCCCCAGGAGCTAGGGGTGAGAGCATCAGAGTCGGGGGAGCTGCAGAGGGACCCCCTGTGTCTTTGGACAAGTACTGAGCTTCTCTTTCATACTGGGTGAAACACGTGAGGACAGGGAGAGAAGCAGCAGGAAGCAGAAAGTCTGACAATTTCCAGAATTTCCACAGTGACAATTCGCATCCCTCGGTTTCCTTACCATGGGGAAAAAAGGCTCTTTTCTTTAAAACCACTAAATGCAAGTGGGAAATAGTGGTGAACCTCCAGACAGTCAGGTAGCCACTGAAATTTATTAATGCATATGCTTAATCATAGCCTACAACATGTCAAAAATAATAAATTTTCAGTTATAAGAGTCACTTCTGACTGGAGTTGTGTAGCTCAGTGGTACAGCACTTGCCTATTGCAGGAGGCACTGGGTTCAATTTTCAGCACCCACATAAAAATCAATAAATAAAATAAAGGTCCATCAACAACTAAAAAAAAAATTTTTTTAAAAAGCATCACTTCCAAAATTATGTGCAAAAAGCTGCGTATAACTACTCTTGTTAATGCATGTGTTTAGACATGCTTCCATGTAAAATTTGACTTCTAGAATAATTTTTTTAAACCTTCTTTATTTTTCACAAAACACCACTCATTAGCTAAAAGTAAATCACATTTATCCTAACTTCTAATACATCCTTTTAAAAAAAATTTTTTTAGATATTGATGGGCCTTTATTTTATTCATTTATTTATATGTGGTGCTGAGAATCACACCCAGTGTCTCACATATGCTAGGCAAGCACTCTACCACTGAGCAACAACCCCAGCCCTCTAATACACCCTTTTGATAAATACAGCATTTGAGGTAATAAATTCACCACATGACAGAACATTATAATTCGGTTACATAATTACATGAGAAACCAACACATTTACCTCATGCTCCACAGATCTCTTTTGTTGGTTATTTCTTTGTTGTTGTTATTGATTTGGTCCTGGGGCTCCAGAGGTGCTCTATCACTGAGCTACATCCCCAGCCCTTTTTTTTTCTTTTTGGGGTGCTGGGGATTGAACCTAGGCCCTTGTGCATGGGAGGTAAGCACTCTACCAACTGAGTTATATCCCCAGTCCCAAAATTATAAGGTTTTATTTTGTTGTTGTTGTTTGTGGTGCTGGGGTTTGAACCCAGGGCTTTATGCATCCAAGGCAAGCACTCCACCAACTGAGCTATATCCCCAGCCCCCCAGCCCTTTTTTTTTTTTTTTTTATTTTGAGACATGGTCTTCCTGAGATGCTCAGGAACTCACTAAGTTGCTGAGGCTGGCTTTGAACTTGCAATCCTCCTGCCTCAGCCTCCCAAATTGCTGGGATTACAGGTGTGCGCCACCATGCCCAGCTAGATTCCTTTTTTTAATTCAATCTCAAATTCAGAAGGCCCCTGATAAGTTAACTACAAATGAAGCCCAAGACTCCTCTTGAAGAAATCCCTCCTCGGGCTGGGGATGTGGCTCAAGCGGTAGCGCGCTCGCCTGGCATGCGTGCGACCCAGGTTCGAGCCTCAGCACCACATACAAACAAAGATGTTGTGCCTGCCAAAAAACTAAAAAATAAATGTTAAAAAATTCTCTCTCTCTCTCTCTGTCTCTCACTCTCTCTTTGAAAAAAAAAAAAAAAAAAGAAATCCCTCCTCAAGCACTGTGCACTAACCTGTAACCAGCCCTGCTGCTCTCCAGCTGTGTACACTTACACAAAGGGCTGAATCTCATGCACTTCTCTCTATCCATCTAGCCAATGAGGAAATCACACTTGGCTCATTGGGTTTTAGTGAAAATTAAATTGAACTAATATGTTAAGGGGCTGGCCAAAGCCTGGCACAAAATGGCACCTAATGAAGAGGTGTCCTCTAAACCAAAGAATGGCCCAAATAGGACCAGGGCTGACCAGGTGGGGTTTACTAATTGCCTGTCATGTGCTAGCCCCTTAGGTGCCCACATCTAAAAGAAAAATGAATAGTTGCTGAAGGCGCAGTATGCCCAGACCAGACCCCATGCAGCAGAGAGTAGTCTGCTAACTTAGGAGCCTGCCAGTTCTAACGCCCAGGCTGGGAAGCAGGTTGGTATACCAATAAGCAATTCCACATTTTTTTTTTTTTTTTTTTGTACCAGGGATTGAATCCAGGGGCGTTTAACCACTGAGCCACATCCCCAGCCCTTGTTATTTTTTATTTTGAGACAGGATTTTGAGACAGGGTCTCACTAAGTTGCTGAGGCTGGCTTTGAATTTGTGGTCCTCCTGACTCAGTCTCCTGAGCCACTGGGATCACAGGCGTGCACCCAGCACTTTTTCCTTTATTTTTAATTATAAGAGCTTTTCACAGCCTCAAAAGCCAGAGTCTGAACCTTCTTTAAGTGTGCTCTGCCTTCAAACATGACAAATAATTTTTTAAAAATATTTTTATTAGTTATTGATGGACCTTTATTTATTTATATGTGGTGCTGAGAATCGAACCCAGTGCCACACATACTAGGCAAGCAAGCGCTCTACCACTGAGCCACAACCCCAGCCCCCAAATAATTTTTTTCCTTTCTTCCTTGATGAACTATTTATATGACTGTCCTGTCTTCCCAGCATCCTGCACAGCTTTCGAGCACTTTCATGCAGACTGTATTAGCCATGTGCTGGGATGATCTCACCAACAAGCAAGAATGTTGTGAATGACTTCCAGTCATAAACAGTGTTTCAAATGCATATGAATGCCAGACAATAACAATAAGGAGAGCAACCCTCCATCTTCTTAAATCTCAGGAAATTATCAACTGGACTGCTGCCTAGAAGCCCATAAATGAAACAAGTGGCACACTACACCCTGCTGGCTCTCACCTCCCTCCAGTGCAGGGTTCATCACAAAGTCACTGAAATGACATTTCACACATGCTGAGGATGCACTGGGGATTTCTTTCACCATAACGTGAAACGTTACCATGGCAAATGCTACTCATCCCACTATTAAGTGACACAAGCATGCAGACCTTTGGCACCCAGCATCCCACAGTAGGAACATCCACTAATCTGGCAGAGTGCACGTGCATGGCTCTGCTCCTTAACAGCTTTCCTCTCCCAGGAGTTCTTATGCCTTCCAGACCTGTCCTCTGTGCCTCAACTTCCCAACCTAAGAAACACACAGAACTAGCACTTCCTCTTCCTTCCTCACCACTCAAACCCCTGGGAAAGGCACCCTTGGCTCACCTCCAGTTTCAATACAGGGGTAGGGTGGAGGAGGCTCTCTCCAGTTCCCACTGGAGTCTTTCATGTGAGATCGGTCGGAAGCAAAGTTCTTCAGGTAGGAATCTGCACGGATCACTCTAAATTTCCTGCAAATCAATCAACAGAACTTATGTTAGGGAGATGTCACATTGGGAATTCTAACTCAGCTTTTATATAGACTCATTTTCTATGACATGCACAAAACTACTCATGCATTTTTATCCTGTTAATAATATAAAGCTTTATTACCTATTAAAATACTCTATGGGAAATGACTGAAGTCTAAAGATATGAAGGTACAGAAATATACCTACCTAGTTGCCTTTATTTACTCAATTGTGATTCAGGCAAAGGGCATGATCTTCTGGAGTTGGCCTCACAGTTCTCTTAATTTTGGCAGCATGAGAATCCCCACCCCTACCCATCAAAGGAGAGTATGAGAGAACCTCCCAGGGTGCCCCCCAAAACATGTTTGAGATCTCATCACAAATTTTTAAGACTGCCAACCTTTAATATGATGTATAACCTTCAAACTCTAACATATTGTTTTTAACTCTCCTGTGTAGCAAGCACATCATTCTCAAGTATCAACTCAGTACTGAGGCCAAGCAAGGTAAGAGATCTTTACAAAACAAATACAAAAGAAGGGAAGAAAAAAGAAAGAACCTCTGTGCAATTGCCAAGGCCTTACGTCAGACACTAATAATTCATCCTGAATGTCCTCACCTCCTAAACTGTGGATGAATGTCATCGTCAGACTTAAAGGCCTCTTCTACGTAAGTGTCAAAGGGGCAGGGAAATGGCAAGACAGTATCGAGATCATAAATGAAGCTCTGTCCTCCACTTGACACATGAAGCAAAACAACATGGTAATCCTAGAAGTAAAAATTGCTGATGTTAACCAAGTTACTCTAGGATGACAAATTGCAAGGTCCCATGAGCAATGCACATATATTATCACAAAAACAGATACAAGACGAATACAGCCCTCCTTAAAAACAGCAAAATTTTTTAAAAAGCAAACAAAAAGCCCTGAAAATAGACTAAATGTCCACTGACAGGGAAATGGCTAAGAAATAAAGGAAATGTTCATATATGTTAAATGCATATCCTTCGACCCAATAATACTACCTCTAGTAAACTGTCTTACAGGGAAATGGTCATAAGCGGGCAAAGGTGTATGTACCAAGAAAATCTCTGCAGCATTGTTAATAACAATGAAACTTCTGAAACAGCCCCAAGTCCTTCGATAAAACAATGGTTAATAAACTATGATACAGCCACATATTAGCATACTATGCAACTACTGAAACAAATAGGCAAATATATATGGAAAACTGAAAAATATCCATTATTTATTATTACCTACTATTATTAAAGCTATATGTATATTAGGACACACATGTGCACTTGGAAGTATATACACATGCATGTGAAGTAGAGAGAAAACTCTACAAGGATACCCTCTGCTACAGTCTGGATATTAAATGCCCCCCAAAATCCCATATGTTAAAGGCTTAGACCCCAGAATAGCACTATGAGGAGGTGATGGAACCTTTAGAGGCAAGACCTAGTGGGAAATCTTCTGGGCACTGGAGATATGCCTTTCATGGAGACCATGGGACCCCAGCCCTTCTTTTTCTTTCTCCCCTCACCAATGAGGTAAGCAGCTTTGCCCCACCATGCACTCCCGCCTTGACGTGCTGCCTCACCACAGCCCAGCATCTGATCATGAACCAAAACCTCTAAAACTGAGAGACACAATAAACCTTTGCTCTTTATAAGTGGGGATTTATCTTAGGTGTTTGTTAAAGTGACAGAAAGCTGACTAACACCCTCCAAATTTTTAACAAAGGGGACTTCTTGAGTTTAGTGTGGAAAGAGTCTAAAGGACTTATATATCCAGTTTCGTACTACTTTTCTAATTAAAACAAAGAAAAAAAGTACTTTTTTAAAAAGTCAGCCATGCCCTCATCTGTAGCCATGAAGGGAGAAGGATAAAAGTTGTGCCACCCAATTTTGTTACAGAGCAGATATTACTTCCTACTCTCACTCCCAGACACAAGGCACTATTAACACCAGCTAATAAGGGCCAAAAGGGTTTCAGGATTATCAGGGGAATATGAGTAGACTGGTGCTTTGGCCCCTCAGGAAAAAAAATGCTCTCCACAGACAACAGCACACCAAAATAAGTCTCAATATAACAACATTAGTAATAACATCTTTTATTCCTGCAGTACTTTAGAGTTCACAAGGCACTTATTCCATCTGAGCCCTGCAAAGTCCCTGTGAGGTGGGAAAGTTAATTGAGATTGGAAACATACCATCAGCATGAAAGCTTCCCTTGGCTCCAACTCCATCCCTAGTAGAGCAGAAATAACATCAGAAATGGATGCTTCCTCCCTGCACTCCTTTTATCCTTCAAGATAAATGGACTAAAAGCTGCAGCCCCTTCTGGCCCACCACTTCCTTTCGCTGGGCTTGCTCGTGTTACACATTCCCCCACCGCAGCAGCAACCTTCTCCACCTCTCTCCACCAAACAACCTCTGGCTCAAAGGCTTTCTCTCTCAGGAATGTGCTTTTCGTCTTTCCTAACCCCTGCCAGAAGTAATCTCTGCCTTACCCAAAATCTATTTCTGTTAACATCTTCAATTCCTATCATTAGTTTTCACAAGGGTGAAAAAAATAAGTCTTACCCTCAGGGGTCAGTAGAGAAATGTAGGGTCAGAAGAGAATGGATGCAGTACCACGTGATGAAGAGAAAGAACAGGAGCACACACAGCTTGAACGGGGAAGAGCCTGCCCAAAGCTCAGCCCCTCCACTTCCCAGCCTCAGCTTCCTCTTATAAACTGGAGATAACTGGAGTGTCTACCTCGTAGAGTTAATGGGACAGGGAGTATGTCAATGCTCATCCTTTTCAAAAGCCAATCAAGAAACAGAGGGGACTGGGGTCCACCTGCCCAGGACAGCATCACTCAAATCCTGCTTGAGAGCTTTCCAGAAAGAAGATAGTCTGTGGAAAACCAAGAGCAATGACCAACCACACCCCAGTCAGTCAGGCCCATATTCCTACTCAGCACATGGCTGCTGGGCTTGGGGGAAGAGGTCTCGCAGTATACATGTGGAGTCATGAAACAAACAGGCGGTTCAGTGTTTGCCCAGCTGCCAGGAAATAACCCACTGGGCTGGAAGCAGGATACCCCTCTGGGAGGGGATCTGCTCCTGGAGGCGGGATTGCCCTACCTGCTCAGCAAGGCCAACCCATTTCCTATAAGAGGACAGCACTGAGGCAAAGATAAATCTGCCAGGCTGTGGGGAGACTTCCCGCAGCAGGACTGTGCACCCTGAGCTGCCATGAGATGTGGTGGAAGGGATGTGTCCACAGGTCCTTTCCCAGGAAGCCTCCGCAGACGGGGAGCAGCTAAGCAGTTCAGCAGCAGGGTTAAACTCCTAGAGAAGGTGGACAGCCTGCAATAGGAGTTATGTAGCATTGCCAACAATAGCCACCAAACACCAACTTAAAAAAATGTTTTTTTCATATTGAAGATTGCATCCAGGGTGCTTCATCACCAAGCTACATCTCCAGCCCTTTTTATGTTTTTATTTTGAGATAGGATCTCATTAAGTTACTGAGACTGGTCTCAAGTTTGTGATCCTCCTGCCTCAGCCTCCCAAGTTACTGGGATTACAGGCATGTGCCACCATACCCAGCCTACCTCTTCTTAGGTGTCCTCTACGTTACCTCATTTAAGCATTACAACCTCACTAACACCGAAGAGACAGGCTATATAACTAGTCCAAGTCCCACAGACTGGGACTTAAACCCCTGCTCCTAACCACAACAGTGCTAGGTTTGGGCTTTGATGTTGGTATAAAAGATCAAGATAGAGATAGAAATTCTGTGAGTCCCCAAGTTTTAGTCTGCTTTGTGACTGCTATATAAAAGGCACCAATTAACCTACGTGAAATAAATGGAGACAATTCAAACGATACATCATAATCTTGAGTAGGTATCTAGAAATTAGGAGTTTGTTACGTTATTATTTATAAAATTCTTCTTTAACTTTTTCTCCATCATTACTAATAAACAATTCCATTCTTCAGGAAGACAGGTTAAAATGACACACAGAGGTGTACAGGAAAGAACCCAGGTCTAAGACCCAGTTCTGCCACTGACCTTGAGCTACTCACTCGCTATACCTTTCTGTGGTTGTTTTATCATCTGAAAAATGAAGGCATTGGAGTGGATATCTCTGTGTGGGTGCATGCACATGTGCTTTGTCTTTTGTTTTAGATCCATGTCTTTCAAATGGAGATCATGTTCAGCCAGGAGTGTATTAAGAACACTATTTATGAACCTCTTTCTAGATGAACCAACCCAGGAATCTATAATTTTAACTAGTCTCCAGATAGCTCTAATATGCAGCTGGACTGCATACTGATAAAAGTTCCTTTCAGGGGCTGAGGTTGTAGCTCAGTGGTAGAGCACTTGCCTGGCACATGTGAGGTCCTGGGTTCCATCCTCAGCACCACATAAAAAATAAATACACAAAATAAAGGTGTTGTGTCCATCTAGAATTTTAAAAAAATTTTTTTCTAAAGTTCCTTTCAGTGCTAAAAAGATAAGTCCAGAAGATCACAAATATGTCTCCTACACTGGCCATTTAAAAATCATTCCTAGATCTCTCTTCCTGGAAACAGCCTGAGACAATCTGTGAAAATGGTTTGCTACTCTCTTAACTCAGAAAATCCCACAAAAATCATGCAAATCAAGAGGTTCAAATCTTGGTGTTCACTTTATACACATCTGTGAAACTGCCCAGGCCATCACAGGTGTGTGTATCTGAAAAGACATACATATCTGAAAGATGTCCCTTTAAAGAAGCAAGGTATACGATTCTAGCATGATGAAACAGGTAGTTATGCTAAGGCCCAACTGGGTCTGGACACAAGGTCAGGGGCCCAAAAAGAGTGCTGATTTTTGTGCACATGCTTAAAAATGCAGAGAATTATGCTGAACTTAAGGGTTTAGATGTGGATTCTCTGGTCATTGAACATGTCCGGGTAAATAAAGTACCCACGATGTTTATACAGCCCCTGGCCAGATGAACCAGCATGTATGCTTCCTCTGCCACCTGAGGTAATCATTATTTAAAGAAGAAATTGTTCCTAAACCAGAAGAAGAGTCTGCACCAAAGAAAAAGATATCCCTGAAGAAACAAAATGTATTACACCAGAATAAATTTAGTATAAAATAAATGCAAATAAAAGCATAAAAAAATAAAATCATTCCTATAATAATGCCAAAATAAAAATTAAAATATGCCTCTAGTACTTCTACCTTAGACCAAATAACATCTATTCTCAAAAGGGTGAGAATAAATACCATTTATATAAATAAATATATAAATTTTAAAATACCATTTATATATATACACACACACACACAAACCATTTAATAAATATATAAGTAAATACCATTTATAGCTGGGTGAGGTGGCACATGCCTGTAATCCCAGCAGCTCGAGAGGCTGAGACAGGAGGATCACAAGTTCAAAGGCAGCCTCAGCAAAAGCGAGGTGCTAAGCAACTCAGTGAGACCATGTCTCTAAATAAAATACAAAATAAGGCTGAGGATGTGGCTTAGTGGTCAAGTGCCCCTGAGTTCAATCCCCAGTACCCCCCCTCAAAAAAAGTCTATTTATTAGTAATTGCCATAGCCTTTCTCTCCTGTCCCTCTCAATTCTGCTTTCCCAAAGTGTACAGACCACTCAGGGGTCACAAGAAACACTGAAGGCTCTCCGAATGGACATCTTACCCAGATCACGGGTCCATTTCCAGGTCTCGCCTGCTGTTTCCAGATAGGTATCTATAAAATATAGTATATCCCATAGTTTCAGTTAAACCACTACTAGATCATTTAAAGCAGTATATAAATAAGAAAAAAAAATATTTCTGAGCAACCAAAAATCAAGGTAAAAGAATAAGTTAATGAATAAGAATAAATTCAACTCCCTCTTAGTATCCTCAATAATGAAAGCTCACAAGAGCTCAAGTTATTGTAAAGTCTTCTTTGGAGTAAAAAAGTATCTGGACTAGGACTCAGAACACCTGGCAGAACATGATCACAGTGGCACAGGCCTGTAATCCCAGCACTTCATGAGGCTGAGGCTTAGCAATTCTGCAAGGCCCTAAGCAACTTAGCAAGATCTCATCTCAAAATTTTAAAACAAAGGGCTGGGGATGCAGCTCAGTGGTTAAACAGCCAAGTTCAACCTCTGGTACCAAAAAGAAAAATAAAAAAGAACACTTGGCAGGTTCAGATTCAAGTCTTGATTTCCCATTGTATTATTCACAGGACGACACTGAGTCTTTATCTACTCTCCTCTAAAATGGAGAAAGCTGTCCAAACTTTGCTTCCATTGGCATCTAATGAAATGATGCCTACAAGAGTACGTTATAAAAAGAAGGGTTCACTTTTCTAATACTTTCTATAGGTTCGTTATGATTCTATTCAAAACTCCAGAGACAAATCTTTTCTTCAAACCTAAGAATTATGTGGTTTCCATATAAGCACTTAAAGCTCTAAATTAATACCTAAAGGGATTTAATCTGTGTGAGTATGCCATAATATACTTACTCCCTCACCTACTATTTAAGTAAGGAACAAAACTTTTCTAACTCAACTGTGTCCTTTAAGAGAAAAAAAAAACTCATTCAAAAACACTTTAAAATGTTCCTGTATTTTATAAAGCACATCTTAGAATAGTACTGACTGAACCCATGCTGCATTCAACTTCTACGCTCATCCTAAATCTCATTTCCTTTCTTCAATCACTAACCAACTTACCATCTTCCTCTCATTTGATATGAAGACAGCATAACACTCTTCCAAAGGATACTGGTTGTGGTTTTTGATGTATTCACAGAGTTTCCAAATATTTTCCTCACTGAAATAAAACAACTGGTTAATCAATATAATTAAAAGCGAACTCTCTTTGTTATTCAAATTTTAATTAAAGACTGATAATGGCATAAAAAAATTGGAAGAGACTTTAAACACTTTCTAATCCAACAACTAACTAACATTTAAATCTCCTTCTGTACAGGCACAGTGGCACACACCTCTAATCCCAATGACTTAGGAGACTGAGGCAGGAGGTTGGTAAATTCAAAGCCAGCCTCAGCAACTTAGTGAGACCCTAGGTCACTTCGCAAGACTCTATCTGAAAATAAAAAATAAAAATAAATAAGAACTAGGGGCTGGGGATGTGGCTCAAGAGGTAGCGCGCTCGCCTGGCATGCTTGCGGCCCAGGTTCGATCCTCAGCACCACATACAAACAAAGATGTTGTGTCTGCCGAAAATTAAAAAATAAATATTTAAAAAATTCTCTCTCTCTCTTAAAAAAAAAAAAAAAAAGATCAGTGTGCGGGTGACCACATCCACTGACCATTTCTTTAAAAAAAAAAAAAAAAAGAACTAGGGATGTGGCTCAGTGGTTAAGCATCCTTGAATTCAATCTCTGGTATGTATGAACACATGTATAAATACATAAATAAATAAATGTCCTCTAAAACATCACCAACAAGCTGCTGTCCAACCTGCACTGAGGTGGCACCTCTGCAGACACAGGGCTCATTACCCCATAGCACTACTTGCCTATGGAAAAAGTTTACAACCAATAAAATGCTATGTCACAATTCTATAAGTGTCTGGTTGAGAGACTTGCAATGTAGCTAGAATTCCAACTGAGCCAATTACAAGGTAAGAAGCATTGACCCTCTTGATCTGAGAATCTCCTTTGCTCATCTGTAAAATGCACATAATCATATCATATTGTAAATACTCAATAAATCTTAGTTAACACTGGTTCCCTGCTTGCCTTAAATAAAGGACAGGTTGGGTGTTTTGGGGAACAAGGCTCCTGACTGGCAAGGATCAGGAACAGTTCAGGTCCAGGAGAGAGTCCCTGTGAGTGGGATTCCCTGAGCCCCTCTGGTAAGGAGGAGGTCTTGACTTTTAGAAAGCCCTTACTCATACTGAACTAAAACCCACCTTCCTACACATCTACCCTGGATCAATCTCTCTTCTCTATGACAAGCCTTGAGTGATCCAAAACAGTAACCAGAACAACCTAAATAAATTGGTGCCTAGTGCATCAAATAAGCAACTGAACCACACTCCAGAGTAACTAAGCACACACAGGCAGTAACTAAGCCACACTCCCAAGCATGGGCAAATATGGCCGCCATTCAGCCTCTGAGCTCAGCCTCTTAACTAATAAACCACATAGTACCTTTGCTCAAAATGAGATACACCCATAATTATGTATAACGCACTAATTAAGAAAACTAGGGAAAAAATGAGCTATACCAACGCTCTGCTCAGAGCACATGACTCAATCTGTCAAGGATGAATTTCCAGTCATCTACACGACACTACATGAAAATGAAGCAAGACACAAACAACACTCTCTCCATTTCATGCAAATACACACCCTTTCTATTCACACATCTTGGCCTTGTCTACCTGTCTCAATGCTCCACACAATTTAAAACACCAAAATCTGACATCTGTATTTTTCTCCTGTGGTTTTGTTTTTCTCTGAAATAACAAGGAAATCTTGAGGAGAAAGTGATATTGGTGGTGGCAACAAAAGGAAGCTTGCAATGACTCCTTCAACATGATCTATATAATAGATAACAAAAATTCACTGACAGTTTCCATACGACAAATGGCATGCAGTAGCTCAAACTTTTCAAATCCAAGTTTTGAGAAGACATTTATCTGTCTGGCCTACAGAAATTTTTGAAGAGTTTCACCAAAACATCTTCAAGAGCCTGTGAGGTACAAAACACTAAATTAAGTGCTTGAAGGATATGATGATAAATTAAAGCTTACATATGCTGAGAGGAGATATAAAGATCAATAAATAGCAAGCAGCACAGAAAGACAAAATGATGCATACCAAAAGCCCAGAGGAGGGAGTCATTATTTGGAGAGATATGGGAAGATGCAAGAGATACAGGACAGCAGTTTCTCCTTGTCTGTTCCCCTATCCCTCATCTTACAGGTGGGAACAGAATTCATGAATGGACAAGTACTACTTGTAGACTGAATTTTTTTTTTTTTTTTGAACCAGGGATTGAACCCTGAGGTGCTTAACCACTGAGCCACCCCCACTTTTTTTAAATTTAAAGACAGGGTCTTGCTGAGTTGCTAAGAGCCTCACTAAGTTGCTGAGACTGACTGTGAATTCACAATCCTCCTGCCTCAGCCTCCTGAGCCACTGGGATTACAGGGGTGCACCATAGCGCCCAGCCAGTACTATTAATTTTTAATACAATGTGAATATTACAGAGAGAAAAAATTTGAACATAGAGTTTCTGAATTTTATTCATTCCCTTTTTATCATCAAGATCATAATATGCAGAAAAATCTCATGAAATTTTTGATGCTAAAAAAAAAAAAAGAGGTGCTTATATTTGAAAATGCAGGGAATCACAGTTAGAATAGAACAAACAAAAAGGGTGATGATACTGTCCCCAAGCTGTCAAGTGATCATTCTAATAGACAAAAGCCTAATAAAGCAGCATAAGGACTGAGACTGCAGGGGTTACCCATAATGGGCTGAGGCCAGAGAAGCAAGCTGAGTGGACATTCCTGACACACAACAGGTACTACACAAATGTTTGGGAAAAAACTAAACAATTAAAACAGAATCCGAAATACCCTAGGGGCTCAGGGTGTAGCTCAGTGGCATGCTGGGCAAGCACAAGGCAGTAGGTTGATCCCTACACTGGGGGGGGAAATAAATATTGCTGTGCAAACCATATAGTCCCATACAAACAATGGCCACCACTCTTATCATTAAATGGGGTTGTGAAATACAAGTAACATCTGACAGAAACTAACAGAAGAAAAAGCGTTTATTTCAAATTAGAAGAACCTAATAGAGCAGAAGCAAAGTGCACCGATTGATGTGCTCAGACAGGATAGAGCACTGTTTCCCAAGCACAGGTGACCATGTCCCCAAGAGGACATTTAGCAATGTCTGGAGACATGTTTGGTTGTCACAACTGAGAGGAGGTTGCTAACAGCATCTAGTGGGTAGAGGCCAGGGATGCTGCTACACATTCTATTCAAAAAAAAAAAAAAAAAGACCATCTTCTCAGGAGACATTTATCTCTTGCCATTCTCCAACCAGATCACTCTCCCAGAATTGTATCAGTCTCCCTCCTGTTTCTCGAATACTGACTGCATGCTTCCTTCTCAGGGCCTTTGCACCTGCTGTTCTCCCTGCCTGAAATGATCTTCCCCCATTAGCCACAAAGCACTTGCCGTCTTTTCCACAGATCTCTGTTCAATATCACCTTATCAACAATATCTTCCTTAAGTATCCTAACATAAAAATAATATTAGTTGCCAGGCAGGGTGGCACAGACCTGTAATTCCAGCATCTTGGGATGCTGAGGCAGAAGATCACGAGTCCAAAGCCAGCCTCAGCAAAAGCAAGGTGCTAAGCAATTCAGTGAGACCCTGTCTCTAAATAAAATGTAAAATAGGGTTGGGGGTGTGGCTCAGTGGTGGAGTGTCCCTGAATTTAATCTTTCGTTACTCCCCCCAAAATGGTATTAGTCATCACCTTTTGCTTTTTCCTATTTTTCTCATAGCATTACCACTACCCAAACATGAATCACTTGTCCTTGTCTGCTTTCCCCCATCAAAATGTAAGAACCAGGAGATGTTACCAAGGAAATTATCAATTTTGTTCACTGCTACCTCCCCAGTGCCTAGAATCACACATCACATATTCCAAGTGCCTAATAAACATTTATTGAATGAATGAATGAAACAATGAATGTCTGCTAGGAGTGAGAATAGGATTTAGGAGACAGAGCAGAAATACACTGCAGCAATTGAGAATCAGGAACTCCAGCATCACACAGACGTTCCAGGCTCAGTACCATCACTTAGTAGAGGGGTGATCTTGGATAAACAGTCTTTCTGTGGCTCAGAAAGCAAAATGAGGATAATATAATCATAGAATCAATCTCCTAGGCATGGATAGAAACAGTTGGCATTGGGCCTAACATGGTCAGAACTGAATTAATGTTAAACTCTTGGTGGTATTGGTTCAATGACCAGCTCAAGGAGGAATGGGTAATTTTATGGTTCTGAGGTTTCTTGCACGTTGGGGAAGAAATTATTTTTACTGAGGAAAGGCAAAGAGGAGTTGAGACCAAGGTAGGGGTGATGCTTCAGCTGCTGAGATAGCCTAGGTAAGAGATGTACAGTGCCTTGACTCCAGAGCCAGACTCCCGCCTGCAAATCCCCATTTTTCACTCAGAAGCTGTGAGAATCAGGCAAATTATTCGCACCCCTCTGTGCTTCACTGTTCTTTGAAATGTAGATCACAACAGTACTAACTCTCTTGGGTTACAATGGGGCTCAAACGAGTTAGTCCACATATCCACCAGTAACAATGCTCAGCATTTGCCAAGCGCGTTGCAAATATAATCATTATTATAATGACTGCAATTCCTAGCTGTTACCTGGGTGACCTTGGAAAAATATTTCAAACTCTCTGTGCCCCCATTCTCTTCCAAATTTAAAATGACCTGCACCTCAGTCTGACACCACACAGGCTTCTGTAGATAACTTCCAAAGCGGCGCTCCACCCTCACTCCCCTTCCGCGCCCCCAACCACTGAGATCTGCTGAGCTTGTCCATCCAAAAAGCGCCAGAGGTAACGCACCATCGAACGCACCACTCCCATCCCATCCCACTGCCCACGCTCTGCTCCAGAGGCAGGGCTCGCGTTCCCTCTCCCTCCACCCGGCAAAACAATAGAACCTTCCAATCTAGGCCCCGCTCGCCCAAAGGGGCTGGAAGGAATCGGTGGTCCACCGCGGCGCGCTGGGCCAGACCCCGGGTGCAGCGCCTGCACCCGCCTCACCAGTAGCAGCTGCTGTAGACACAGGCGTCCCGCGGGGGGCTGGCTGGCTGGTAGAGGGTGGCGGCGGCGACGTCCCTCTCCATAGCCCCGGCCTGGGGCTCAAGGACAGGACCCACCAAGGAATCCGCCAGTGCGCAGCAGCTGGCGCCAGAACTCGAGCAGAGTGAGAGGAGCCTGGGGCGGCCCAGGCAGTTTCCGGCCGGTGGAACCTGCGGCCAGTGGGCGGGGCCTGGGCGGAACCAGCGGCTCAGAGTCCCAGCGCGCGAAGCCCGGGACAGAGCAGGCGGACCTCTCAGTGTAGGGAGCTGGGAAAAGGGAGGTGCTACCAAGGGGGTAGGACTAAGTGGGCGGGACCGAGGTGGGGCGTGCAGCGAGATTTCCCAGTGGGCGGATCTTGGGATGAGAAGGCCTGCGTGGTTCCGGATGGGCTGGGCCCTGGTGAGTGGACTCAGGCGGGGAGGGGCCGAAGCGCGAGCTCTGGTGGGCGGAGCCGGGAACTTTGCGCGTTCCGGGTAGGTGGAGACTGACCGAGTGGGTGGAGCCTAGACGGGGCCAGAAGACCGCGCGCGTTCCCAGGGGCAGGGCCTGAGCCCGGCTGACTGAGCGACAGAGGCTGTAACCGCGAGGACCAGTCAGGTGGGGAGTAGAGCTGTCGCGGGCCGCAGAAGCGCCGGCCTCAGCAACACTTGGGTGAGAGTTCCTGGAGACACCTCCATCCCGGGCTGAGGTTGCCACCTGTGGAAGTGCCAGATTAGACGTTGAAATAAGACGCTTTGCGTGTGCAAATCAAAGTGTTGGCACTCAGCGTGGAGTCCGCAGGATCCCGGAAGAGGAGGGAAGGAGAGCTTAATTCCAAATATGACCTCATTGAGGGATCGCACCCCAAATTTCACCATATTGTAAATTTTTTTAATTCGGAGATCATTATATGTTGGCTCAGGAAGACATATTGATTTCTTGATAATTGATTTGCTGGCAATATAAAAGAAAGACGCCAAATATTAGAACAGTGCTTAGCGGGCGCCCTGAGGAACGGCCTGTAATCCCAGCAGCTCCCGAGGCTGAGGCAGAAGACTCGCAAATTCCAGGCCAGCCTCAGCAACTTAACCAGGCCCTGGGCAACTTAGCAAGACCCTGTCTCAAAATAGAAAATAAGAAGAACTGGGCTGGGGTCGTAGCTCAGTGGTTAAGCTAACCTGGGTTCAATTCCTGGTACAAAAAAAAAAAAAAAGTAGAAAACCGTTGTGCATCTCTGGTGAATAAAGTATGTCGAGGACTTTGACTAGTCTGAATTTGCAATGGACATATGTAACTGATCAGGGAACTTCATATTATAAAAAGTGAAATTCTTAGGTTGGTTATAGGCTACCCACGTCAGATTCTCCGACTTTTAAGAGTTCCAAAGCTCATAAATCAAAGTCATAAAGACTTTGAACATAAGTCCTTAATGTCCATTATCAATTTATTGCCTCAGTTCTTTATACTCACTTATTCTGTTATTCTAAATAACAGAATTTCATTAGATCTTCCTCCTTTAAAGTAAGGATAAGGTTCAGTGTTCTCAGCAGAGTGTGGGAGGGATACTGCAGGGGGAAGAAGCTCTCTGCTGTTTGGGGGAAGGACAGAGACCAGAGTTTGGGGTGTGATCATGAGTATCTCAAGTGGAGTCCGTTCCAGCCACAGGCTCATAATGTAGTCCCTCTGTGGCTTTAACAGCTTCACCTCATGATGCTGTAGTGCAGATTAAATCCAGTAATCTACTGGGTTGGGGGGGCAGCATAGTGCCTGGCACAACATAGGTACTGTCAAAGATAAAGTCAGACATAGTTAAAGCAGTAAAATAGGTTTTATTCCGTGAGTACTGAACTTAGGGAATAGAACTGAACTCCATTCTGATTTGTGCAGATGTGATTTACATCTAAATCAAAAATTAAAAGGGAGAGGGAATGTGGGAGTTCAGTAAAAAGAAGTGAAAATTACCCAGGGTGTAAATACAGGAGGCCAGCTGTGTCTACTGGCTGGCAGTTATCTAAGTCCGGTTCTCTCCTCCCACAGAGACTGAGATGGAGGCCCTAGCCTTCCTGATGATTACATTTCAAAGAAATGGCTCTCAGATCTTAAAAGATACCTTTGAATTGCTAAAAAGACAAATTGACACTTCTAAACTCTTTAATGCTCTAAGAAAAAGGAGGTCAGGGGCCTATCATTAGGTGTTGGTGAGAACAAACAGTAAATTTCCCTGGCAGGGTTTGGCTTTCTCTTGAAAGTGTTTTAATGGGAGGTGGGGAGGAGCTGAGGTCATCCTACGGACACAGCCTATGCTGCTAAAAACCTTAGTAATGTGTGCTTAAGTCTCTTAGAACAGAGATTTGGGCGGAGTAGTCCTGTCCAGAGAATTCTCAGCAATCTATGTAATAAAACTGCATAGCTTTGCAGTTATGATCATTAACATTTTATATCTTTGAGCAGTATGCCAGCATTATGACTGGCATAAATGGTTCTTGAATTAATTATATTTTGTTAGTTAAGATACATATGGTTTTTCCGTAACTAAGAAACCCCAAAATGTAGCAACTTAAATTTGAGATACAAATGTTTTTCTCATAGAACACTCTGAGCACTGATACCTTATCTCTTTAGTCCACTACCCAGGCTCCTGGTATTTTATGCTAAGGGCATGGAGCCTTGCCCTGGTCAGCATGGTTGAGGATGGATCACCACCCCATCTGCTGCAATTGCATTCTGGCTAGCAAAACCAGGAAGAAAGGATAAGTGGAAGATTTAAGGACAAAATCACTTCTGCTCACAGTTCACTGGTGAAAAGATACTCATAAAGTCACACCCAGGTGCAAAGGAGATTAGGAAACATGGGTTTTTTCTGGGCAATCCAGCTAACCTGTGAGTTTCTCAAACAAGAAAGAGGGCATGGATTTTGAGAGAGAGCCAGCAGTCTCTGCCATATTGTACTTACTTTCTTTTATTTTTTTTTTCTTCTAAACTTTCTCATAAGCAGGAGTTATTTTTTTTAATTGGAAAAAAAAAAACAAATCATAGAAGTCAGTCACAGGCACATACTTGTAATCACAATGGCTCAGGAGACTGAGGCAGGAGGATGACGAGTTCAAAGCCAGCCTCAGCAACTTAGCAACGCACTTAGCAACTCAGCAAGACCCTATATCTAAATAAAATATTTAAAAGGGCTGGGATGTGGCTTAGTGGTTAATTACCTCTGGGTTCAATCCTCAGTACCAAAAAAAAAAAAATAGATCATAGAAAAATACATGTGATCCTATAGTAGAGACTATAAAAAGGGAAGGAAGACCAGGGATGGGAGGAAAAGAAGGAAAGGGGAGGTACTGGAGAACAAAAACAACCAAATTATATTGTTATACTGTGTGCATGCATGAGTATATATAACAATGAATCCCACTATTATGTAAAATTATCACACACTGCTAATTTAAAAAATGAGGATATGGCTTCCAACCAGACTCTGACCACAAACTCCAATAACCCTGATTAGGAAGAAATAAGAGATGCACTCATGGAAGACGACAGCCCATGAAATTAGGATATTAAAGGGCAGGGATTTAGAGGAGGGACATTTGACAAAGGAAAATGTAAGAAAGGCCACAGGCATGGAAAGGAGATTCAGGAAGTCTGCAGCATACAATACTTTAAAAATCAAAAGAGGCTTTTTTTATTGAGAAGGTGTATTTTTAATGCTTAGTATTAAAAGCATGAAGTAAAAGAAAGAGATAATCCCATGGCTTGAGACCATATGGTTTGCTGTGATCAGACAACTGAAAGGAACAGAAATATTCAGTGCCCATTTTGCTTGCATTTTCTCTAACAAGGAAAAATGATCCTCGAGCTATAAAGAATAAGGAAATTAGCACTAAAAGGAAATTAAAGGCCAAGATAGGGACAATGATAGAAAGCACTAAATTATCTTAAGTGGATTGAAAAATCTTCAGACCCAGAGTTATATTCCAGAATACTGAAAAAGCTTTAGGTTACACCCTCCAAAGACTCTCTTACAGCTCTTTAAGAAAATATGATGGAGGAGATAACACAAAATTAAATATGAATGTTTGCTGTCTTGAGTTTCATAAAAGGAAAAAGAGATATTCCAGTCATCCCATTACATTGATGAGCTTGATATCTATTCCCATGGTCATTTGTGACTATTTTGTTTTAAAAGTGAAGGGCATAAATCCTTGTTGAAATAATGATTTTTTAAAGAACTGATTATTAGAAAAGCATTGTGGCTTAGAGTATACCTTGATTCCAACAAAGCACCTGGCTCTGCTACACTAGTCCTGATTCATGTCCAGTTCAAAGTCAAGGCTGTTATTATCTCTTGTAACGAGAACAACACTGAAATGGCTTTCAGACACAAAGGATGAGCTACAGGGTCTCAAGGGATCCTAATCAGGATCACATCTCAGCCCTTCTTTCTCCCCATCTCTCTGCTTCTCAATGCTTGGCTTTATTCTGAGATCAACTTTTCACTTCTGCCCTGTGGCAGCCACTGGCAGCCCAGTATGCATATTTTCCAGGCTCAGCAACCACAGTGGAAAGAGAAAGCTTCTTTTTCATTCTAGCAACCATATGGAATGACTTGTGCCTTCATTTTTTACTTCTGTGCTGCCTGTACTTTTTCTATGTATAACTTTGTAATAAATGTTAAAAGTAAAATGCTTCTAAAGAATCAAATTTATGGACATTAATATAAATGTGTGTGGGTAGACTATTGTTCACTTAATTTTCCCTACTGTTGGGCATTTAGTTTGTTTTCAGTATAATAGTATACTATTATAAGTAAAGCTGTAATCAACATCTTTGTACATAAATCTAGTCCATACCTATGATTATTACCTTTGGCATGCTAGAAGTGGGATTCCTGATCCAAAGGTTTAAACATTTTTCAGGACTTCTGATACATGTTGCTTTATTGTTTTCAAGAAATGGGTCCATGGCTGGACGTGGTGGCACACACCTATAATCCTAGAGGATCACAAGTTCAAAGCCAGCCTCAGAAACTTAGCAAGACGTGAGCAACTTACTAAGATCCTGTCTCTAAATAAAATATTAAAAAGGACTGGGGATGTGGCTCAGTGGTTAAGTGCCCTTGGGTTCAATCCCCAGTCACACCCCCCCCAAAAAAAAAAGAAAAAGAAATGGGCCCATCCCCCAACACTACATTGAAGATTTTTATTTAAAAACAAAACAAACAGGGCTGGGGTTATGACTCAGTGGTAGAGCACTTG